AACTTCAGGCATATTGTCAGAAGGGACCAGTCGCTAGAGAAGGATATCATGTTTGGTAACTTGAAGGGTCAGAGAAAAAGAGGAAGACCCCCAAGAAGATGGATTGGCAAAATGGCAGCATCTATGGACTCAAGTGCTGCAACAATAGTAGTGAGGTTGGCCCAGGATCAGGCAGCGCTTCATTCCGTTGTGCATAGGGTCAGTATGAGTCAGTACCGACTTGATGGCACCTGACAACAACAATCACCCATACCCCAAAACTGTCATTTCCCTTATTTTACTTTCTTCACAGTGTCTAACACTCATCAGAATGATCATCACTTGATTTTGCTTTAATCCAACAAATATTTATTAAGTTTCTATTGTGTGCTAACGTCAGATGAACATCATTTTTGACATCAGATGTATCTTGGCTGAAAGCACAGAATACCAGAAAGATGTTTACTTGTGCTTTATTGACTATGCAAAGGCATTCAACTGTGTGGAACATGACAAGCTATGGATAACATTGCAAAGAATGGGAATTCCAGAGCACTTAATTGTGCTTATGAGGAACCTGCACATCGACTAAGAGGCAGTCATTTGAACGGAACAAGAATGGTTTAAAATAAGGAAAAGTATGTGTCAAGGTTGTATCTTTTCACCATACTTATTCAATCTGTATGCTGAACAAATAATCTGAGGATCTGGATTATATGAAGAAAAACATGGCACCAGGATTGGAGGTAGACTCATTAACAACCTGCAATATGCAGATGATACAACTTTGCTTGCAGAAAGTGAAGAGGACTTAAAATACTTACTGATGAAGATCAGTGACTATAGCCTTCAGTATAGATTGCACCTCAATGTAAATAAAATGAAAATCTTAACAACTAGACCAGTAAATAACATTATGATAAATGGAGAAAAGATTGAAGTTGTCAAACCTTGATTTTTCTTGAATCTACAATCAATATTCAATGGCAGTGTAGTTATGAAATCAAAGTACTGCATTAGGCAAATTTGCTGTGCAAGACCACTTTAAAGGTTAAAAAGCAAAGATGTGACTCTGAGGACTAAGGTGTTTCTGACCCAAACCGTGGTATTTTAATAGCCTCATATGCGTGTGAAAGTTGGACAATAAATAAGGAAGACCATAGAAGGCTCTATGCATTTGAATTATGGTGTTGGTGAAGATTATTGAAAGTACCATGGATTGCCAGAAGAACAAACGAATCTGTTTTGGACATGTTGTCAGGAGAGACCAGTTCCTGGAGAAGGGCATCATGGAGTGACATAGTGGCAAAAATGGGCTTCAACCTAAGTTGGAGCAGTGTTTCGTTCTGTTGCACACAGGGTTGCTATGAGTCGAAACAAATTTGATTGCCCCTAGCAACAATAACAACACTGTGTGCTAGTCATCCTTCTGTGGACTGGATACCCAGCAGTGGACAAAAAAGACAAAAAATCACTGCTGTTGTTGGTGGAACTGGCACCCTAGAGGGAGAGATGGAGGATAATCAAGTAATACATATTGGATGTTAGAGATCCTGGTGTGGTGCTGTGGGTTAATGCCAGGTCAGTTTGACCACAAGGTTGGTGGTTCAAGCTCACCAGCCACTCCTCAGGAACCCTTACAGGGTTGCTATGAGTCAGAACCAACTCGATGGCACTTAACAACAACATTGAATGTTAGGAAGTCATTGGATGGTACCAATGGGCAATGCATTCAGCTGCTAACCCAAAAGCTGATGGCTGGTGTTCACCCAGAGATATCTCAGAAGGCCTAATGATCAACTTCCAGAAAGAATCAACAGCCGCTCCACAGAGACAGCCTCAGAAATCCTATACAGGGTCATTATGAGTCAGAATCAACTCAGTGGCCGTGGGTTATAGAGCACAATTCTACTGTGACACACACATGGGGTTCCCATGAGTTGGAATCAATTCAAGGTCAACTGATGTTTTGGTTCTGAGTTAGAGTTGCAAGTCACAAGAAGGAAAATATAAAACAGAAATGTGTACATGACATGACCAGAGGACTCAATCAACACATGATATTAGAACATCAATGTGAAGGAGAAGAGAGGAGCCACAAGGGTTTCTAGGGACAGAGCGTTCCAGGCAGAGAAAACAGCAAATGCAAAGGCCTGAGGGGGGAACATGCTAAATCCTGTTTTAAGGTGTTAGAGATGATGGAAGTCCAATATTCAAGGTGCTGTATTTTAATTGAGGGAGACAGATGAGCCAATATATGACATTCTGCCAAGTGATAAGCAAGTGATGGCCTAGGGAGGGCAGTCAGTGGTCAAGGCGGCCTCTCTCAGGAGATAATGTTTAAAAAAAGGCCTGAGGAGAGGGAAAGCAAGTAGTGATCTTGGGGAAATTTATTGACCCTTAACCTTGCCAGTGCCTCTTTCCCTTCCCACCAATTCCAGTAAGGGCTCAGGTTTCCAAGAAGAAGTAGTGTCTGAGGGGGTGGGGAAGGGAATTACAATAAGGGTGTGGTACAGTATGGGTCAAGGAGCTCTGGTAGCGTAGTGGTTACGAATCGGGCTGCGAACCTTAAGGTCAGTGGTTCGAAACTACCAGCCGCTCCGCGGGAGAAAGATGAGGCTTTCTACTCCTGTAAGGATTTACACCCTCGGAAACCCTGTATGGGGTCGCTATGGGTCGGAACCGACTCGAAGGCACTTCACAACAACAACAACAACACAGTATGGGTCAGAACCCACTCAAAGGCACTTAACAACAGTCCCCCAGCCATTACCCCAGCCCGTTCTGTGGTGGGAGTCCGCCCTCAGCCTTCTCTCACACTGGCTACTTGTTTGTACTGGTCTTCTGGGTGGGGCTTCAGTTTAGGGGCCTCATCCCCCTCCTCCTTCCCATCAAAGCCCCAACCTGGCTTCAAAGGAGCCGCTGGGCCCAGAGCCTCTGGGAAAAGGAGGAGGCTGCACTCTGAAAGGAGCCGGGGACCCACCCCCCAGCTGCAGGCCATCTGGGCTTCTGGTTCTAGGTTGGGTTAGCAGCCCAGGTCTTGCCCACCATCCAGAGGGGTTGAGGGACCTCTCTAGTCCAGTGGTAGTGTCAGAATTACCCTGGGTTTCCATTTGGATGCAGAGCAGCTATGTGACCCTGAGCCACTCAGTAAGCTCTGAAGCCTCAACTGCATAAATGAAGTTTGTAATCGCCCCACCTCCCCTAACCCCAGGTCCTATAAAGTGCTGAATGCAGGTGAGCTACCGCTTTTGGGAATACCGAGCCCAGAGGGGTATCTGGACCTGCTGGACCCCCTAAGATCACCTCTTCTACTCTTCGGAAAGAGAATGGGTACAAACCTGGAACCCTCACGGCCCACTATGCTGTTTCTTTGAAGGAAAGTAGGGCAGCCTCAGACCCCATTAGTCGCCCATAGTGTTTGAAGGAGTCCAGATAGATAGCTGTCCTAGGAGAAAAGTCAGAGTAGACCCCAGACCTCAGACACTATTGCAATCCTGGCACCAACAGGGCTAGGGGTGGGGGTGCAAAAGGGGAAGGCTGGTCACTGTGCCCAGTCCCAGCCACAGGACGCTTTTGGAGGAACTGCAATCAGAAGAGGCCTTGCAAGAAAACACACCCATAATCAGAAAGAGAAATTGAACCGTTTATTGGCCCAGATTGGGTCTCAGGCTAGGAGGGGGGCATCTGGGGAGCTGTATAAAGGGAAACAAACCCCCGACTGGCTCCTTGCCCACCAAAGACGCCCTTAGCCTTTGCATTCATGTGTTGGAGGCATGCGGTTGCCTTCCTAGAGGTGAGCTGACCTCAGCTCTCAAGCGGGGAGACTGAGCCAGCAATTACTAAGGGGCTGCAGCGGGGTCAGTCCCCCCACCCCCACCCCATTTGGCAGCTTCAACACAGACATGAAGAGACAGAACAGCATCCATTCTGAGGGAAAGAAACATGGTGGGGAGCCAGGTCACAGATATCACACACAGACACACAGACACATAAATACACATTTGTACCGTACTGTCCTTTGCATCCATCCACAGGATTTAGCAAAATCCTTCTGGGACAGTTTAGGAGAGAGTGGCTCCAGGCAGTATCCTTGGTCACCCCAATTCTATGCTCCATTCAATACAACTTGAAAGGAGGCACAGTGGCTGAGGGCTGCTTTCTTTAGGGGACCTGGTACTTTGGCCCTGGCTGGAGGTGAGAATAACTTGGGGATAGTTTTATTTTAGGGGGTTCCTGTGCAAATATCTCCCTCTGAACTTTCTCAAGTTCCACCTTGCCCCAGTGGGAGGTCCAAAGTCCTCCCCACAGCTCTACTCCCCCCAAACCAGTTTTTCCAGCCTTTGGTGATTCTTCTGTGCCCCAATAGTGCAATTTGCCAATGAGGTCTGAGAATGGGGCTCAGCCCCCCACCCCACCCGACACCCCCCGCCCTGCTGTTTCCGGGCATCATGAAGAGTGAGAGGAAAAAGGAAAGGGAAGAAGTAGCCCAAGTGGCAGCTGGTGACATTTGGGGAAGCTGTGGATTTGGGCCCAGACACTGTAGCCAATGTTGCCCTAAAGGCCAGGGAGTAGACCGCCAGCCCTCGGGGACAGAGGCTCCAAGGAAGTGGACAGATGTTGCCAGAGATGGCAGAAGGGGAAATTCAGAGAGGGTTCTGGAGCAGGCCAAACAGTCAGGCAATTGTTACAATGTTGAAATCCCCTATACCGCTTGGCCAATTGTTCCTGCCCCAAGCTCCCCTTGAACGCCGGCCTGCAGTCACCCCGGCCCTTTCCAGGACCCCCTCCCCTCACCCAGGCCACACTGGCCACCAATGCTGGTCTCCAGGATTCTTCAGCAGCTCTGTCATCCGATTGGTCAGTGCCTCGGCCAAACTAGCTGTGGAATGTTTCCAACGCTGCCCAGGTCTGCCGGCTGGAGGCATCTTGGTGGACAGCCCCTCATCTCTGTCCCAGGTCACCCAGCACCCCACTGCGTGGCCCTCTGCCATCAGCCTGGTTGCTGGCCCAGCCACCCTTCAGACCACTGTGTTGCCTTCCAGAACCGTGGGTGTTGTGGGCATGTGTGTGCCTCTCTCCAGCGAGCTAGAGCTGCGCAGGGGCAGGAGGCGGTGGCCCGGTGTTCCACTCCGCCGTCCCTGCACCCCCGCTGCCCGCTGACAGCACTGCAATGGCCGGAGCACCCCCGCTGCCCGCTGACAGCACTGCAATGGCCGGAGTACCTCCCGCCGCAGGTCCCGGCTGCGCCACGTGTAGATGACAGGGTTGAGCAGTGAGTTGAGAGTGGCGAAGGCGAAAAAGTAGTGGGCTTTGTACAGGATAGGGCAGGACCGGACCGTACAGGCGTAGTCCAGGAGGAGAATGCTAAAAGCAGGCAGCCAGCAGACGATGAAAACACCCAGTACAATGGTGACCGTCTTGAGCAGGGCCAGCGTCTGTGAGACAGCCACATCAGCATGGCTAGAGCGCACCACACAGTAGATACGGATGTACAGAGCCACAATGGCCAACAAGATGACGGAGAAGATGGTCACCACACAGAGCACGTAATGTTTGGCATAGAGCGGCAAAACAGTTGAACAGGTATCCAGGTGGCCCAGGCAGTTCCAACCAAGGATGGGCAGACCGCCGAGAGCCAGTGAGATGAGCCAGGAGGCCGCAATGAGCAGCAACATGCGGCAGCTCTTGTCGCTGCCATACAGCTTGACCTTGGCAATGGCCACGTGCCGCTCAATGGCAATGGCCAGGAGGCTGAAGACAGAGGCAGAGAGTGTGATGAAGGCAGATCCCTCGCGGGCAAACCATTGCAGAGGCGTCAGCCCCAATGTGACAGGGCCTGAGAGCAAGGTATTAGCTATGAAGGCCACACCCGCTAGAAGGTCCGAAGCAGCCAGGTTGCCCAGAAATAGGTACATGGCTGAATGGAACTTGCTGTTTCGTGCAACCGCAATGAGTACCAGCAGGTTTTCCATCACAATGGCGCCGCAAAGGATGATAATCAGGGTTGAGGCCACCTTGCGGGACGGCGTCTGCTGCGTGTCTAGCGTCTCCTTTGTGTAATTGTAGTGTTCCAGGACCTTGCTGGGGCTCAGATACTCCGAGTATAGGCTGCCCATGGTGGGGCTCAGTGACCAGCTGGGGCCATGAGGCTATCAGAGCTGCAGAGAGGAGAGACAGACAGAAAGGTCAGACAGACAGATGCAGCCTGGGCTTTGATCTCGCATGGCTGTGATTTGACCTTTATTGCTGAATGGTCTGAATGAGCACTATCCCCATTTTAAAGGTGGGAAACCCAGAGAGGTCGATTCACTTTCCCAAAGCCTCAAAGCAGTTAAGTGACAGGGTCAGAGACGGTGGCTCCGGACGGCCTCTATAACCCCTAAGCTATAACTATCTTTCAAAGGAAAAGACGTACAATTCCTTCTCGAAGCTTCCCCCCAAATGCATGAAGAGTTCAAATCAGAATTACGGAAACCTTGCCCAGCTTCCTGGAGGGCTTGTCTCCTTTCTCCAACACTCACAGAAGGCTGGGGCCTCAGGTGACCTGCTGACCTGAGCCACAGAGAAGTTCGCCACTGATAACAAGGTTCCTTGCTCATTACCACCCACTGCTCAAGATATCAGTCTGGGCCTAAGCCTTGAGGCCATGGGTGCTCCCAAAATAAGGTCTTAAGGAGACACCAGGGCGGCCCTGAGGTCACGTCATCTTAAAGGACTTCAGTTTTGGAGGCAATCCAGGGTTTAACCCCACTCTGCTGCTGACACACTGTGGGACCCTGGGCAAGTTGGTCTGTAGCCCTCAATGCCTTCATCTGTGGGAGAAGAAAGGCCACTTTATTAGGGGTTTAATTGGCAAAGAATATTAAATCTACCATGGATTGGCAGAAAAACGAACAAATCTGTGTTGGAAGAAGGATAGCCAGAAAGTTCCTTAGAAGGAAGACTGGAGAGAATTTGTCTCACGTACTTTGGACATGTTATCAGAAGGACCCAGTCCCTGGAAAACATCATGTTTGGTACAGTAGAGGGTTATCAAAAGAGAGGCAGACACTCAATGAAATGGATTGACGCAGTGCCTCCAACAATGGCCTCAAACATCAGAACAATGGTGAGGATGAAGCAGGACCAGGCAGTGTTTGGTTCTGCTGTACATAGGCTCACTATGAGTCAGAATCAACTTGACAACACCAAACAACAACAAATCCTTTCTAATGATGCACAAGGCATGCTTAGCATATAGCAGGCACGCAATAAATATTAGTCAATGGCTTTATTACCATTCCCCTCTACACACCACAAACACAGCTCTAGATGGAGTACCCCACACCCAAGGGTTTGGAAAGGGATCCTGTCTGACTGAAGGGGATGTTTGGCCAGCCAAGGTTTCCAACAGCCTGTTCTCATCAGTACCATCCAGCTCTGCCCAGGGACAGAGGGTCCCTAGGGGATAGGCAGGGCGCTGCCATCCCCCTCCCCAGCTAGGATGAAATCCAGATGTGAGGCCCCTGGAACAAGCAGGGTGGAGTCTTGGTTCCTTGGTCACATCCGGTGCAGAGCAGGCTGGGAGGGGGCGATGTGATGGGGGAGCCACAGGAGACCCGTCTGGGAGGTCCTGGCTGGGAAGATGGAGCAGCTGTGCTGAAGTCACGTGAGCTGTGAGGGGCATGCAGCCCTTGGGGTGGGGGGGGAAATAATGACATTCATTTCCATGAAAGCCTGAATCACCCCCTCTTAAGGAAAACTGAGCTGTGGGGGGAGGGGCAGGAAAGGCTCGAGTGGGCAGGGAACAAGTAATAGATACCATGCCCTTCCCCCACCACATGGGGAAAGGCAGGGTTCCCGAGGAGCTAGGGCAAGGTCTGCCTTTTACAAGGGGGGCTAGGAGGAAGGTACAGTTGTTAACTAATTACAAAAGGCTAGGGGAAAAGCCTTCCCCAAGTCCCTGGAAACCCGCCCAGCAGGGAACACGTGTGTCCCAGTAGCACCTTCCAGAAAAAGCTGGTTAGGCCGGTTCCTAGGGAGCCTGGGAGTGATGGGGGGCTTCTGGGGTCGCACAGCCATGACAGTCCCCAGTGCACCCTGAACCTCAGCCGGTCAGAGGCAGCTGCTTTCCCTGGTAGAAGGACATCCGTCCTAGTTTGGGAACAGAGACGGGTTTGTGCACATCCCTGGGGACAGCCGCCCCTCCCAGATCGCTACACAAAGTCTCCTTGTTTTTCCGTAGGACAGGGCCCGGGTGCCCTGATGCTCTCTGCCCGCCACAGTTGGCTCCGGGCTGGCTTGGCCCAAGCGACTGTCTTACTGGACCTGCCGTCGGGCCGGAAACAGCTCACACCCAGAACAGCCCATTTTCAATCCCAGGGCACTGAGTTTATTCTTAGCCCACTGGCCTAGATTTGGCATCCATGGCACGTGATTGGCCAACTGGGGGTGCTCTAGGGCTGACAGTACTGGTTGGGCCATCCATTGACTGGTGACTAGGGCTCAGTTTTTCCTAGGGTCCAGTTATGCCTGTGGATGTCCCAAGAGGATGTCTGAGCAGTAGGCCTGACCACTGGGTCACCCCAACCAGACATCTCCAGACTGACCTGGCCTGCAGGGCCCCTCCTAGAGTTCAAAAATGAGAATTAAGACCTCTGTCCCAATCCTGAGAACTACACTTCCTGGGGGGAGAAGCTCAGGGTGTGTGCCTCTCCCACCTTAGGGCTCATGTGGGGGCCTCCACAACTCTTTACTCTGGTAACCAAGAGAAAGATTTATAGCTGATTTCTAGAGAAATAAGAATTGGACTCAGCCTTTCCACCCCAGGGACCAGCCAAAAAGCCTGTCCTCTGCCCCAGGGGAAGATACACCCCCACTCTTGGCAGCCCCAGGAGGCTGTTCAAGCATTCAAAAAGGGAGAGAGAGTTCAAGTCAGAGCAAGAGAAACTGAGGCCCATACTGTCTCATTTTTCCTACTGGCTAGAGGAGCAATGGTGTCCTGGTGTGGTGCTGCAGAATAACACACCGGATCACAAAGCTGGCTTGAATCACAAGGTCGGCGGTTCAAACTCAGCAGCTGCTCCTCAGAAACCCTATGCAGGGTCCTTACGAGTTGGAACCAACTCAACGGCACATAACAGAAGAGAACATAAGGCAGGAACTAAAGGCGGTTTAGACTTCCAAGAAAGAGGAAGTAGGGCTAGGCAGACGCTGGCAGATGAGTTTTGTCCCCAAGCAGGGGCCTTGTCTTTTTCCCCTCCCCAAGGTCAGGTCTGGTCAAGCACAGCACCTGTCTCTCACTCACACTCACAGGGTGGTCCTAACTCCCTCCTAGGAACTCACTGGGCACAGAACCGGCCAGGCCTGAAATGGAACCAGAGGGACAAGTGGAAGGGTTTAGGAGAAAGGAAGGAGAGGCAGACAGAGATGTGACTATTTGGCTCGGTCAGATGAGGGTAAGGTAGGAGGAAGGCGCAGTGGTTTCCAGCCCCCCTCTGCCTTCCTAGCTCCCGGAGGGGCAGATCCTGTGGATCCTCATGTCCCTTGCCCTGACAGTTCCCCACGATTTCTTTTAGATTTCCTCCAGCTATGATTTTGGTGTGGTGCTGTGGGTTAATGTGGTGAACTGCAAAGTCAGTTTGAACCACAAAGTTGGCGGTTCAAACTCACTAGCTGTTCCTCGGAAACCCTATACATGGTCACCATGGGTCAGAAGCGACTTGACAGCACTTAACAACAACAACAACAAATCAGTTTCCCCTAGAAGTCTTGGTGTGGCGCTGTAGGATAAGCCAAAAGGTTGGCGGTTCAAACCCACCAACCACTTTTCAGAAACCCTATACAGGGTCACTGTGAGTTGACACCAATTTGAGATTTGACGGCATTTAACAACAACCTCAGATTTCCCCTATAGTTCATCCTCCACTCAGCAGCCAGGGGGATTTATTATTATTATTATATAAATATAATAGGTCACTCCCAGCTCCAAATTCTTCCATGGCTCCCCACAGCCCTGTATAGGTGGTCCCTGCCCACCTAGCCTAGTCTCCTTCCACTCTCCCCAGCAATCACTCCACTCCAGCTCCAATGGCCACTTACTTGCCCAGAGACTTATCTAAGGTATGGGAAGTGAAGCACTTGCCCTAGGCATCACTTGAAGGAGGGGAGGGGCACCAATGAATAGTTTCTATTAACCATGGGCAGTTTCCGAAGCTCCCAATGATCTCTGTGAGGGATCATTCAGCAAGTTAAATCAAATACTTTGATACTTTCATATTTGAGATCCTCCCTGAGTTAAAGGAGTCCTGGTGTGGTGTTGCAGGTTAATGTGCTGACTGCAAGGTCGGTTTGAACCACAAGGTTGGCGGTTCAAGCTCACCAGCCACTCCTAGGAAACCCTATACAGTGTGGCCATGAGTCTGAATGGACTTGATGGCACATTACCAAAAAAACAAAACAAAACAAAATGACTCAAAGTGGAGTCCTAGTGTAGCACTGTAGGACAAGCACTGGACTGTTAACCGAAATCCTGGCAGCTCAAACCCACCCAACACTCCTGGAAAACCCTATAATAGTTGCTGTGAATTGGACTGACTCAATGGTACTTAACAACAACACTGGGTCAAGACAAACCATGTGATCTTGCTCTGCTGAGAGTAGAAAGAAGAGAGACTTAGAGCCCATCAGAGATGAAATTTCATCAGTGAAAGCAAGTTAGGTGGGTGTAGTTGTCATTCCATGGAGTTCCATCATGGGTTAAGTAAAACATGAAAGAGCTTGACGTGGATTTTTGAGCTGATGTTAATGAGAAAGTGATCTAAAAGGTGGGTGTCATAGGTTTGGAGAGGGGTGTGATTTCAATGTTTGCTACTTTCTTGTTAAGTGCCCACAAGTCGGTTCCGACTCGTAGTGACCCTGTATAGGGTTTCCTAGGATGGAACTGCAGTCCCACACCAGGAGTGTTTGGGATAAGTGCTATTTTCCCTAGCCTCTGGATATAACACCAGCATTCCCACCTCAGGGCCAATGCTTCCGCTGTTCCTTTCATGGTACACAGTCCCCACACCATCTTTGAATGACTCGCTCTTCAACCTTCAGGTTTCTGATTCAAATGTCACTTTGTCTCCTGCCCACG